TGTGGGGATTTATAAAGTGGCAATTGTATGCAGTTGCTTACCGAAGTAATTAAGCAAAGAGAGTTAATACTTCAGTGTTACATTTGTCGTGTTATTTACAATGTAATCTATAAAGGAGAAAAAAAAATCCTGAATTCTTTTACAGTGGAGGCACATCTAGCTATAAACACAAAGAGCTAAGTGTTGCTAGGGTAAGAGGAAAACAAATACACATAATTGGTTTTGATCTTAGTGGTTTCAAATGGATTTGAGCAAAAGACTATTGAAAAGTAGACAGCTAATCTGATAATGGCATTTACCTAAATGAGTACAGACTAAAGTCATCAACAATAAGAATAATGCAGCAAGATAATAAGTATTTTTTCAATTTTGCATTTAATTTATATTATTATAAATCCCTGTGTGTGGAGGGTGCATATCCCCCCACCCAGCAGAGGTGGTCACCAGTAGATCTGTATCTACATTTAGTATTCCCTGCAGTAGTTATCAACCAGTATCTTTGCTTAAAGCATGAGGGAGCAACACTTTGCTAAAAGGCAAGTGAAAGAGTCTGTCTGAGACTCAGGGGAAAGAGGTCAAATCCACAAGAATAGACAGGACATGCTTAAGAGCAACTTAAGCGTATAATGTTGCTTAAGTCTGTACATAGCATGCATGTTTATTTCAGAATCACTAGTCGTCAAACCCATAAAATACGTTTGCTTGAAATGTAGTAGTAAAGCTGCAGTTGCAACTTGCTTATGACTGTGGACATGGCATATGGGAAAAGTGGACAGATATTTTCAAAGGCTCAAAATGCAGTTAATCATTCATCTTCTTTGCTGACTCATCTGCTCCGGTATTTTAGTTGCTTATCCGATCAGTGAGCTGCTCCAGTGCACGTAGGAAAAATGCTGCCTGTTAGTGGGAGGGCCAGAATGAAAAGGCAATTGAAGCTAGAGACCTCTGAGGGTGAAGAAGTGGCTGATTGGTAGGAGAAATGGGAGAAGGCTTTTAGCCTTTCACAATTTTGTGAAAGTCAATTATAAAAGCACATTTACAGTGAGCAGGTTGTGTCGTATCATACTGATCATTTTATCCCCAGGGAATATTTCTGTTTACAGCCTTTTCTCTTTTTTTTTCTTGGTGATGAAGGAACCATTTACAGATCATGTTCTGACCAGTCCTACAGTCTAAATAATACAGAAAAAAAAGATTTTTATAAATACCTGAACACAAATACAAGGCATGGCCTTTAAAAATAAGTCACACTGACTTAAACATCTACAGAAGCCTCCTCCTAGGTTTTTCCGAGGAGCTATGTCAGGCCATTGGTTGAAGCAGACTCTGATAAAGTGTACCTCCTCATATGGATAGAATAAAAACCCAGAAAATATTCTGCTTCTCTGGTCTGCCTTTTCCTCTTTTGGCTGCCTCACACAATGCCAAATATCTTTAAGTATATGTGTATGACTGATGTAATTGCAGCAGTACCTGTTCTCACAGTGAGTTTGACTTCTCTGGACCTGTCCCAGGCCTGGCTGATTTTACAGTGATTTACAGGCCATGCATAAAATTCTCCAGTCCATTGGAAAGACGATAGGACCATTAATTTATCTCGCATCACAAAAACAAGGCTTAGGAGTGTATGAATAGGTTAAAGGATAAAATACTGTGCTTTGGCTCATAGAAGACACTATGATATTTATTTGCCAGATAAAACAGATATTTTCAAGGGAAAATTTCTTGAGCCTCTCACTTCTTTAGTAGATTAGGAGGTTCCATTGTCCCTAATGCACGATCTTCCAAAAATATTTTAGTTAATTAGGCATGTGTTCCATTAGCATAGTAAAAACCTATGTTAATGTGACCTAGTAGAGATTTTTATCAAACACATCAAGTGTAAAAGAGAAATGTTTTCTTTAATGCACAGAAACTGGACAGAATGATTCCAAGTTCTTTATCTTGACTTAATGATCTGTTGTACCGTCCAAAGATATACAGCTTGCACTGGGCCATTTTTTAGCCAAAGAGGGCCAACACAGTGAGTGCTGTGGACATTTTGGAAGCTCACAAGCTGTCAAAATAAAAATCCCCATGTTGAAAGGAAAAGCCTTTGCAATCATGTTGGGGACTTTTTTTTTCTTGATTTTAAACCCTTGACCTCCTGTAAAAAAAAAATGAGGTGGGATGCTCCCATATTAAGGTAAAATGAGCCGGGGTAGGATTCCTGAGCCAGTGCCGAGTTGGCAGATTCACTGGCAGAAAGCAGCACAGCTCTGTGCAAAGAGGCTTGCTTGGGTCCCAAAAGCAGAATAGTTCCATTAACAAGGTAATGTCTAGCAAGCACCTTCTCTCAACCCTTCCAACCACTGTGTTGCAATGACGTGGCTTCCTACTGGCACTTACTTAGAAAGCTAGCCCAAGGACCCAGCAAAGGTTACAGAGACACCTGAGGCAGACAGACCTATCCTTAGGAATGTCTGTCCCCAAAAGAGCAATAAGTCTTGTGTCAATGCAAAATTCCAGGTGAGGAGTATTCATTTAATTTAGGGTAATTCCTAAAAGGCCAATGTATACCGTGATTTTTTTTTACACTACACAAAACAGAACATGTCCTAAGAAGCTTACAGTCTTAAGTACTCTGTTAGCTTAGCTTTTTCTGATGCTTCCAATTCCTGTTCCCAAAACTAAGTGTTGGGGTTACAGTGTTTCTTTTTTCTTTTTTTTTTAAACATGCATTCATTAGTAGCATCTTTACTTACAAAACTATTGCTCTCAGAGAAACACTTAAAAGTATAGATTTTACGATAAAGACCTATATATCTGTCTCTTTTCTTATTACTTTGCCTATGGAACTTTATATACATTATATGTCTATGAGGTTTGAATTGTATATGTCTATGCTAGTAAAGATTTCCCTTTTGCACCACCACGGTTGGAAAGATACTGGTCTCTTGGTATTCATTGTCTGATTGTAGACTCTGTTCTTGATCACTTTTAACTATAAATGACAGCAGCTTTTTAAAAAAATGTAAACATTTCTATGCAGTTTTGCAAATGAGCATTATGTGAATCTTGCTGCTTTGATTTCCCTTCAGTAAAGCTAGTGAGCTTCGTTTGTGTAGCTTTGCAAACTTATAGTTTGAGATTACTTAATCCAGCTAGTCAGCCATAAAGCAGTAAAAGCACAAAGAGAGAGAAACAGGCAAAAAAAGAAAGGGATGAGTTCCAGCAGTCAAATACTGGGCTAGCCTGCAGGGACCACATGTGCATGGATGTCCATACTGGACATGGTATTTTTATTCATCAAATGTACAGATAGGAGTTTGAGATGACAGCTTTCCTTATGATGGTTGCCTAATGACATATATGTATATAAAGCATTATTGTGAAACAAGATTTCTTGAGGATTTCAAACACAGTTCACACGTCATAATAATGAGGTATAGTTTCTTTAAACTATTTTGCTATACAGTGCTGCATATTTGGAATAGTTTGTCCGGAAAAATTGTTCACAAATACATAGCATCGCATAGCAACATAAGTTATGTATTTGTACTTACACACATACACACACACACACACAGACATATAGGTGTACATACAAATATTCATACAGGTTGTATATATACTGTATAGGGAAAATATCTTGGAGGCACATGGACAAAGACATTTACATCCAAAACAATGAATAGCTTTATAGGGAAAATATCTTGGAGGCACATGTTTACATCCAAAACAATGAATAGCTGCTGAATAAAGTCAAAGTTTTGTTTTCACATGAAGTCTTTTAGCTAATGCCTTTTGAAAAGTTTGAAGGTCATTCTTTGACTATTGATGTGTATTTACAACAAATGAATTGTGAGTAAGTGATTGGTGAAAAAAAGAGAGTGTAGGCACAGATGTTGAAATTCAAGCTAAAAATAGGCACAGTTACAATGAAAATGAAGTCTGTTAATTATCTCTGCTGTGCTGTGATGAATGACAGGTTGTTAAATTTGTTGTTATATCTTTGTTGATGTAAAACAGTGTTCTTTATTACCTTTATTACAGCAAACTGGCTAAGAAGTTTGATGTTTATTTATTAATATGCTAGAAAAAAAAAGATCTTTCCTTCCCTACAGTGCTAAAATGTGATGCTTGGTGATGTTTCAGTGAATTCTGAAACTCTTACTTGAGCTAATTATTGGTTTTAAAGCTTGTCTGTGTTCTTCCATTTCTGCTTGACTGATGAGTACTTCTCTCACTTGCACTAAATAGTAGCTAAGGTAGTGGCTTTTTGTGTATGCTATCACAGGCTGGAGACAGAAGATCTACGGCTGTTGACTTGATTTCCAAACATAATTGGTACCTTCCAGAGATGCAGCGGATCACCTGTTGTTTTGCTGTGTAAATTTGAGCGCATACTTGATTATGGCTTTTCAGAAGTGTGAAACAGCCTGTCCTTTAGTCATTGCTGGTGTGAGCAGGATAACATTGGGATGTGTGAGGAAGGAGGAGGGGATGCGTGAGGGAGGAGGAGGGGCTGGGCTTGCGTGCCCCGGGACGAGCCCCGTGCGGTGGGACGCGGATGGTGGGAGATAAGCTGAATGCCATCAACGGGTCTGTAAAGTTCTCGGGGTCGAACGGAGTATGTGGGGAAAGGAGCGAAATGATGATAAAACACTGTGCAATGAACCCATACCGGGGAAAAAGTAGGGAAGGGCTTTTTTTTTTTTTTTTTCTCCCCGCTTTGTGCTTTTGGTTGCTGGAATCCTAGTGCTCTTGCAACAATACTTGGTTAAATGTTTTCAGGCAGAATGGACTTTTTGTTTGGTATGTCTGTGCTCCTTTTAAGGAATTCTGGTCTTCGGAAAACAAAGAAATTTAGGAGGTTGGAGATGTCCAAGAAAATGGCCTTTCAGAAAAAAAAGGACCTGCGTTGTTTTTCGTAACAGTAGAAGAGATGGGTATGTTTATTAAACTGTGCATACCATATGATGCTTCATATTTTTCCATTTGATTTCCTGTAGGGTGATTTCACTTGGAACAGCATGTCAGGGCGCAGCGTTCGGCTGAAGTCAGTTCCCGTTCAAAGCCTCTCCGAGCTGGAGCGAGCTCGACTGCAGGAAGTGGCTTTTTATCAGTTGCAGCAGGACTGTGACCTGGGCTGTCAGATTACTATCCCCAAAGGTAAGGGCTTGAAAAACTCTTTCTCTTTGGTTTACAAAGCCTGCTCTTTCTAAGCCACTGCCTTCATGTAACATAAAGGGGAGAAAATCTGCATGTGCTATTCCGTGGACATTGTCATATGTTTAATCTTTATTTAAACATGGTAACTGTAGAAACGGCTAAGAGTTTTGTTGGTCTTTCTCTATTATCAAGCCACTTGGCGGGGGATCATTTGCTCAAGGACAGATACATACTGTACAGATAACATACATCTGCCATCCTCAGAATCCCTTCATGTTCAGTTCAGAGAAAGAAGATTTCTTACACTTCCTGTCATCCAAAAAGATGTAGGTCAGATAAAGCTTGCCCCAAAGTGTTTTTTTAGCTCTGTTGGCTAGAAAGCCAAGGAAGCCAAGCATCTAAAGCCAAGGAGGCCAAACTCAAGAGAGGTAGTGAAGAAGTGGAGACATCTGCATTAAGAAAGATAAATCCTATCCAAAATCTCCTGAAGACAGTGGCGATTATTTCGTAGAATAAAAGTTAATTTTAGCATGTGACATTGAACACCTGAAGAACAGAGATTTACTGAAAAGGAAAAGCTTAGCTGTCAGAGTCCTAATGCAGGGCAAGTGCACATAAACATGTACTTAGGCTATGCACAAGTGGACCTTTTAGGTGGAAGAGGTCCAAACCTTAACTCAGGCTAATGCAGAAGTTTCCATTACTTTATGTAGACAGTATATCAGGCCTACCAAAGATAGCTTTTGTTCTATGATACAATCATATGCAAATCTCTGGGTCTTTCCAGTTGTTGTATACTTATTTAAGGATTAAGAAGAGGACCCTCAATTCTCACCCCAGGCTGTGACCAGAGATACTGTGTGGCAGCACATGCACAGCTATGCAAAGGCACAGTTTTGAATGAAGAAAGAGCAGAACAAACGTTTCAGGTGTATACAAATAATTAAATGGAAACAAAAAATGTGAGAGAAATCAGCCTGGATGTTGTTAAACCTCTCTGAATTGCAGAAAACTCCTGCCAAAAATAAGAGTCCCAGCTTATCAATTACAGAAGGGCAAACCTTTTATCAGTTTGTAGTGATAGTCAACTTCTCCAAGCTCCACCACAATCCCCCTGATCCCTTAAAAAATACTGCCTCAATGGGACAACAGAACATGCAAATAAGAAATCAGATCACTAGGAGTTCTGTAATTTTTTTGAAAACCTGAAGTTCCTGTGGGTGATGCCTACAGATTTTATATGTACACACACACATATAGACACAGATGTATGTATATATTTGAAATGCATCCAAGGCAATGGAGTATACATATGAATATTCAGCAACTTTGAGCTTTGGAGAATGAGCATTTGTGTATTATTTATATGCACTCCTCATTATTTCCTGCTAGGAATGCCATGCAAGTCCAACCATCTAGGAAAGCCAGGGTCTCTGCCAAGTCAGCCTGCTCTTCCTCTAGAAGATTGGGTGGTAACAGAAGTCACAGGCCACTTGGCACAATGCCAGGGCCTCAGAGAATGGGAACTGTTGCATCTGTTGAGTTCAGATCACGCATAGGAACAGTTTTTATAGTCACGACACATGTATACACGGGTGATGATATACTGTGTAATGAATTATATATAGAGAGAGTCTGAAAGCCTTATTTCAAGCATATAAACTAAAGAAAAATACAGTAATTTCTGTAAAAGCACCCCAAAAATAGGAGGCACTTTCCTGGGCTCCTGTTTCCTATATAGTCTTACAGCTGACCCCATCATTTTATGTATCTTTTGCTTCAGTTTAGACAAGAAATAAATTATTCAGTTCTGACAGATTAGATTTATAATTAAGATTATTGATAAGAAGCTGATTATCTTATATCTGAATACTTACTCTGAATACCTGGATCATGAGTTCCTCTGTGTTTCAGGGTGTGCTGAGTGAAAGAATAGCAGCTGCAATCTTAAACATCTGCTTAGGATGTTGCAGTACCGGATGTTGAAGCAAATGAAGGTAGCAGGCTAAATTTGGAATCATATAGTATTTAACAGTCCATCCTGTTCCTAAATTTGGCAGCAAAACCATTATGATATATGTAAATAATACTCCATCATCCTACATCTATTCCCATGCTTCAATAGCAACATAATAATCTAATATATTCCTAAATAGCTACAGGTTATTTCAGGCCTTTTGTAGAGACAGTTCCGAAGTCTACTTCATGTTCCTATATCTCTTCAATAGCAGGGAATGTAGAATTATGATAAGAGGGTACAGGCAGCCATTCCAGTTCATTTCCCAACGTCACTGGACTGTATAAATGTTTTAGCAGTGTGAAATTAGCTCAGGTACTCTGGGCATCTAGGAATGCAAAAGGAAAAACATAAGTCACAGCCATTTTTCCCTCAAGTTAAGAACAGAGTTGTTAAATATTCTCAGTAACAAAGATGAATTATATTGGGACGAATTTCCGGAAGAGCTGTCACTGTATATTAGATAGAACTGGAGGAGCTATCTAGATATGGAAAGATACAGGCATAGAAATGTAGGCTGTATAGCTCTCAGAGAATGAGAGCTCTACCTCAGAGAATGTGGTATAATATTATTTGGGAATACAGTTGTGTAGTCCTACGTTTTTGTCTATTTTTTGTCTTCTCCTGATGGTAGCACTCATGCACTGAAGAACTTCTCTTCATGTTTCCTCATACATTTTTTTGGTAATAAGACAGGTGTAAATTTGGCTACCATCTGCAGTGAGTTAGTTAGAAACACCATCTTGATTTCTGGTCTATTGCTGATTAGACAATCAGACAATTAGACAATAAGTTTTTGACTTCTGAGGCAATTCCGTTACCTCTTTGTGAAGAAATGGCACATTCAAATCACCATTTATCAACAATTTGTGCTTTATATGTTTCCTTATGTGTCACTGTTTTCTTCATAGAGCCAACAAAGAATACTATGATAAGGAGCAGCTGCATTCACAAGAAAAAATTTCTTGTGGTTCCCAAAACTGCTGAATTACATTTCTCACTGGTAGCCTTGTCATATGCTGTAGCCGCATGGGCAACATTACAACACAGTAAGCATCTCAGTGTAATTAGACAAATTGCATTACCACGATAACAGTCCAGCTGACTACACTGTCTTGGGATGTGAAAGAAGCATGTGGTGTGTCTGCAGCAAAATAGAGAACTCGTGTGCTGTTATCACACCAAGCCTCCTCTCCTGGACTCCAGAGAAAGACTGTAGTGGACAGGACTGAAACTGTTATGAGCACATAGGATTTTTGTGTACTAGGAACTTCCCCCAGGGAATTTCCTTCCTCTTTCCTCTTCCCTCTTCCAAGGGCCAAATACAGAGAGGTTTCTTAATGAAGAAGAACCAGTTCCTGGAATTGGGGCTGGTAAAACAATTTAGTAAGGGCTATTGTCTGCCCAAGATATGCATATAACATTCTTCCACTGCATTTCTTTGAAGAGATAATGGAAGAATGTTGGGGGTTTTCTGCACAGCAACCTTCTCTCTAGTGCTACTCATGTCTGTTTAGTCCTACTCTAGCTTTTGTAAAGCAGAGATGTCACCAGTAATGCTTGCACTGCGCAAGGTCACATGTAGAAACCACCCCACTTATTACAGCCCAACCTTGTCTGCAAGGCTGGGATTGGTACAGAGCATTGGTAGGAATTGTTTGGGAACAGGAGGAAAATGTGTGTCTGATGAGGGAAAAAGGGATTTTAATAGATGTTAGGAGAAAGAACAGAGGAAAAACCTTTCTTTTTTTTACAGGATATATTATTTTAACCTATTAAGAGGTTTTACATTTATGTTGTAAAAGAGCGATTCATGTTACCACTTGTGATTATTCGTTATTTTGCTCTTTGTAGATAGACAATCATTTGTTACTGGTTTGTGCACTGCCTCCCACATTGGGAAGACAAATCGCCTGCCTTGTGGCCTCAGTTAATGAAGTAAGAAAAAAATAGTAGGAAGGTATTCATGGCAGTAAGTAGTAGTTCTAACACACTGATTGTGCAGTGGTTTAAGCATTGTAACCAGGAGCACACAATAAAAACTGATGCCTTCCTCCCACTCTTTCTCCCCTTTCTTTCTGTTTTTGGTCTACTTTGTCAGGCTAAAATGGTACTGTGGAAAGTTACCGGCCAGATGAGCAAGGTGTTGTAAGGTTATGTGCATTGCTGGTCCCATACTGTCTAGTCTGGCACATTTTGCAGACTCATAATTGCTTTAATCACCAAAAGGAGAGAACAAGCAGACAGATGCTCCTATCCTCTTCTGTTAGTTTTGTTTTTATTTTATTTGACAGGCTTGGGACAACCTATGCTTATTCATTAAGACATCAAACAAAGATTGAGAATGTTTTTCTTCTGTCTCAGCCTAGAAATTATTGTTTTAAAGCTGCAGTGGACATTATAGCGTGTTTGAAACCTGGAGAAGATAAATGCCCTTTAGGGATTCATCATAAAATATCAGAAGATAGGCATGTTTATTTTTCTTTTGCTTAATGGTCATTAATGGCCATTGCAGCAGGTAAAATGCGTAATTATTTATGCTTATATTTCGCTTATACTTTAGAGATCCAGTTACAGGTCAGGGTTCTGTTTTGATGTAGACTGCTATATGGTGGACTTGACCACCAGAGCTTTAATTATCAGCGTAAGATAAGAGACTATAGTTGGGTACAGTTGGGTAAGCTCAAAGGGACGACTGTACCTCAGGCATGTGGTTTCAGTATGTGGTTTGATTAACCACTGAGAAGCTTTTTTAATACAGGAGAAAGGGCAATCAACAGGATAATCAAGCATTCACATGTGTTGTGGTAGCGGCGTGGCTGATATGGTCATTGTCCTTCAATGTCATTCTAGAAAATTTCAACAAAACAAAAAACAAACAACCACCACCACTACCAACAAAAAACTCTCCTGCTCTTAGGATATCCCTGCCCCTGACCCACTCACTTGTGAGTTGAAATATCCCCTGAATCCCATATATTCT